GAATTGATGTCACATTTTAAAAAACTAGTAGAAGCTATCGAGAAAGGTGGAAAATTTCCTGAATTATGGAAAGAGGGACAGATACCTTTAACACACAAATCAGGAATTGAAAGCAATCAAATTAAAAATTACAGACCATTAGCAATTTTAAAGTGGACTGCAAGATATTCCCACACTTAAAAGAGCTACTGGTCTGTCAAAGTAAGATGATGATGCAACATCTGGGGATGATGCAACACCCATGTAAAGGAAGATGATGCAACCCTTGAAGTGATTGGACAGAAGCATCAGTTTAACTGTATATAAGGAAACATTGTGAACATGAATGTATCTCCTTCTTTCCTATATGCTACTATCCTCTATGTTACTTTGCCACACGGAAGGTCTGCTACTTTGTACATCTGTATATATTTGTTAATACATGTGTCTTTTTGTAGAAGAGCGTGTGTGTTTTTTCCTTCAACCAGAGAACTCTGCACATTAAACAGCAAGAAGCTGACATGGTCTATAATTTTTAATTTGATTCCTTTTCGTTCTTGATTTGTGTGTGGATTTGTGTGTGTGATTTAAATGTGGACTACAAGATATTCCCCCTGAATGAATTGCTGCCTTGTCGTGGCAAAGGGGCTTGAGTAATTCAGAGAAGCTATGGGCTATGCCATGCAGGGACATCTAAAACAGACAGGTCATAGTGGAGAGTTCTGACTAAATGCAATCCTCCTGGAGCAGGAACTGGCAAGCCACGTCAGTATCTTTGCCGAGAAAACTCCATGGACAGAAATAAAAGGCTAAAAGATATGTCACTGGAAGATGAGCCCCTATGGTCGGAAGGTGTCCAACATACTACTGAGGAAGAGTGGAGGACAAGTACAAGTAGCTCCAGAGATAATGATGTGGATGGGCCAAAGCTAAAAGGTCACTCAGCTGCAGACACGCCTGGAAGTGAAAGGAAAATCCGCAAAGAAAAATACTTCGCAGAAACCTGGAATGTAAGATCTATGAACCTTGGTAATCTGGATGTGGTCAAACAGGAGATGGCAAGAATAAACATTGACATCATGCGCATCAGTGAACTAAAATGGACGGGAAAGCGTGAATTCAGTTCAGATGATTATCATATCTACTATTCTGGGCAAGGATCCCATAGAAGAAATGGAGTAGCCCTCACAGTCATGTTGTGGGGAAAAATGAGTGTGAAAAGCTGTACTGGGATATAATCTCAAAAATGATAGCATGATGTCAATACAAATCCAAGGCAGACATTTCAACATCACAATAATCCAAGTTTATGCACCAACCACCAATGCTGAGGAGACTGAAATTGACCAATTCTATGAAGACTTACAACACCTTCTAGAACTGACACCAAAGAAAGATGTTCTCATTATAGGGGACTGGAATGCTAAAGTATGGAGTCAAGAGATAAAAGAAACAACAGATAAGTTTGGCCTTGGAGTTCAAAACGAAGCAGGGCAAGGGCTAATAAAGTACTGTCAAGAGAACAAGTTGGTCATGACAAACACTCTTTACCAATAACACAAGGGGCACATGGACATCACCAGATGGGCAATACCAAAATCAGATTGATTATATTCTCTGCAGTCAAAGATGGAGAAGCTCTATACAGTCAGCAAAAACAAGACCTGGAGCTGATTGTGGCTCTGATCATCAGCTTCTTATAGCAAAATTCAAGCTCAAACTGAATAAAGTAGGAAAAAACACTGGTTTACTCAGGTATAATCTAAATCAAATCACTTATGAATACACAGTGGAAGTGAAGAACGGATTTAAGGAACTAGACTTGGTGGACAATGTGCCTGAAGAACTATGGATGGAGGTTCATAACATTATAAAGGAGGCAGCAACAAAAACCATCCCAAAGAAAAGGAAATGCAAGAAAGCAAAGTGGCTGCCCAAAGAGGCCTTAATAGCAGAGAAGAGAAGGGAAACAAAATGCAAGGGAGATAGGGAAAGTTACAGAAAATTGAATGTACACTTCCAAAGAATAGCAAGGAGAGACAAGAGGGCCTTCTTAAATGAACAGTGCAAAGAAATAGAGGAAAATAATAGAAAGGGAAAAACCAGAGATCTATTCAGGAAAATTGGAGGTATTAAGGGAACCTTTTTTGCAAAGATGGACATGATAAAGGACAAAAAATGGTAGTGACATAACAGAAGCAGAAGAAATAAAGAAGAGGTGGCAAAAATATACAGAGGAATTATACCAGAAAGATCTAGATTTCCCGGACAACCCAAATAGTGTGGTTGCTGACCTTGAGCCAGACATCCTGGAAAATGAAGTCAAGTGGGCCTTAGAAAGCATGGCTAACAACAAGGTCAGTGGAGGTGATGGCATTTCAGCTGAACTATTAAAAATCTTAAAATATGACGCTATGAAGGTGCTACACTCAATATGCCAGCAAGTTTGGAAAACTCAACAGTGGCCAGAGGATTGGAAAAGATCAGTCTACATCCCAATCCCAAAGAAGGGCAGTGCCAAAGAATGCTCCACAATTGCACTCATTTCACACACTAGCATGATTATGCTAAAAATCCTACAAGGTAGGCTTCAGCAGTATATGGATCGAGAATTCAGAGATGTACAAGCTGGATTTCGAAGGGGCAGAGGAATTAGAAACCAAATTGCTTACATGTGCTGAATTATGTATGGAGAAAGCCAGAGCATTCCAGAAAAACGTCTACTTCTGCTTCATTGACTACGGAAAAGCCTTTGACTGTGTGGACCACAGCAACCTATGGCAAGTTCTTAAAGAAATGGGAGTGCCTGGCCACCTTATCTACCTCCTGAGAAATCTATATGTAGGACAGGAAGCAATCATTAGAATTGGATATGGGACAATTGATTGAATTCCAAGCCGGAATAAATATCAACAACCTCATATATGCAGATGATACCACTCTGATGACAGAAAGTGAGGAGGAATTAAAGAACCTCTTAATGAGCATGAAAGAGGAGAGTGCCAAAAACGGTCTGAAGCTCAACATCAAAAAACCTAAGATCATGGCCAGTGGTCCCATCACTTCCTGGTAAATAGAAGGGGAAGATATGGAGGCAGTGACAGATTTTACTTTCTCGGGCTCCATGATCATTGTAGATGGAGACAGCAGCCTTGAAATTAAAAGACACCTGCTTCTTGGGAGGAAAGCGATGACAAATCTTGACAGCATCTTAAAAAGCAGAAACATCACCTTGCCAACAAAGGTCCGGATAGTCAAAGGTATGGTTTTTCCTGTAGTGATGTATGGAAGTGAGAGCTGGACCATAAAGAAAGCTGACTGCCGAAGAACTGATGCTTTTGAATTGTGCTGCTGGAGGAGGGTCTTGAGAGTCTCCTGGACTGCAAGGAGAACAAACCTAACCATTCTTAAGGAAATCAACCTTGAGTGCTCACTGGAAGGACAGATCCTGAAGCTGAGGCTCCAATACTTTGGCCATGTCATGAGAAGAGAAGACTCCTTGGAAAAGATCTTGATGTCAGGAAAGTGTGAAGGCAAGAGGAGAAGGGGACGACAGAGGATGAGATGGTTGGACAGTGTCATTGAAGCAACCAGCATGAATTTGACCCAACTCCAGGAGGCAGTGGAAGATAGGAGGGCCTGGCATGCTCTGGTCCATGGGGTCACGAAGAGGCGGACACGACTAAACGACAACGACAAATCAAGAAAAAGGGCTTTTCTCAGATCACACAGTTCAACTTAAAAAATTAGAGTACTACTGGCATAAGCAAAGCTTAGTATGAAGAAGGCATTTTGTCATAGAGCCTCTTAACCTCTGTTTCATGCTTCTTTTTCAGTGGCATATATTTCTGTTCTATGTTTTGTTAATTAAGCAGTACCACTTCAAACATAACCATATACAGTGGTGCCCCGCACAGCGAGGTTAATCTGTTCCGGATTAACCTTCGCTGTGGGAAACATCGCTGTGCGGGAGGGAAAAAGCCATAGAAACGCATTGAACTTTGGATTTCAAACTCACCGTTCAGCGAAGTTCCTCCATAGGCGGCAGCCATTTTCGCACGCTCCCCGCGCAGCCATTTGGGGGCTTCCGCATCGTTTTCGCACGCTCCCCTTGCTTACCAAGGGCGCAAAAACGCTGCGCCCCGGCCCCTTTCGGCTGTTCCGGCGGCCATTTTTTACCCGCCGAACAGCTGATCGGCGGGTCGCAAAGCGAAGGTCGGTAAGCGAGCAGCTTACCGACCTTCGCTCTGCGATTTTTGCCCATTGGGGCCATCGTTGTGCGATCGCTTTAGCGATCGCAAAAGCGTCACCGTAGAGCGAATTCATCGCTCTATGGTGCGCTCGTTGTGCGAGGCACCACTGTAGTCCAAAAAGCAGTGTATTTCTGGATTTACCATTTGAAGAATAAACTTTAGAAAAATACTGGAATAGACTATATTAGAGATGAGGGCTTCATCTACAAACACAAAGTCCACTTGCACAGGTGGCTGGCCTGATTACCTCCCAACCCCAGACCACTTACTGCATGGTGCATGTAGCCAGAGTCATCTTCTGCACCCAATCACAGCAGTAGCTTGGCTGCTGCAGCCCCACCTCATTGCTCACCCACCACTCGGTGGCTGAGCAGGGAGACTCATCCTCCTGCCCCCTTGCTGAAGTGGCTGGGCAAGCAAGAGGGGCTACGGCAGCCAGGCAACTGCTGTGATTGGGGCACAGAAGATGATGCTGGCCATGCATGCTGCATGGTAAGTGGTCTAGTGGGATCTGGGGGTGGGTATGTATCAAGCCAGCCACCTATGCTAGTGGTCTTCGTATCTCTAGACTATATTACAGAAATGTTTATCTGATTATATGTCACTATTCAAAGGAACAGATTTATAATCCTAAATCTATCTGTTCCCATGCCTATAGCACCATTATCATCATACATACTTATAGCAAATGTAGATTTGGCGTTGACAACTTCAGTGCTAATGAACTTCATTAGGTACACAGTTATTTAGCAGTCTGATTCTACTTACCAGAAATCTCTGCCACAATCCATACAGGAAAGGCACTGGCAGCTCCAGCATATATTTACATGTTTTCCAACATGTCCCTTCTTCACAGATTCTCCACATGCATTACAGGTAAAAACAACCATCTTGCAAACTAGCTGAATGTTTTTCAAGAGCTATTAAATTTGATAGTCTTCCAGAAAATTCTAAAAATAGAATTGACAGCTGTTATACAGTACCTAAAACAAATATACTTTAAAAAACAGTTACTAAAGAGAGATCTGACACAGATATACAGTATATCTATCAAAACAATACAAGAGTGGAGGAAGCGATTAGTCCGAACAAGCACATAACAGATATTTAAAGGTGGGGAAATTCTGTGACTGTTATGGCACCAGTCTAGGGTGCCATAATGTTCAAAGAACTTTGAACACCAGCACTGACTCAAAATAAGTTCTGGGAAACAGAGAATCAATACAGTAGGAAACCATTTCCTCTGCTCCTAATGCTACACTGATGATAATTTAATTTACAAGGGTGAAATTGGCAATCCATCTCATGAAATACATACAGTACTCCCAAACTCATTTCCCCCTTCTCATGGAGAGAAAATAAAAAAAACACAACATCTCCCTGTCAATGTATCACACCTGTTTGGGTCTAAATGTGCAGTCTACCACTTGCCAAGACCCAGATATCCGCAATGTCACACTACAACACAGGGGTGGCTTCTCATCCTTTATTCTCCTGCAACTCTTTCCTGGCCCTCAACTTGCAGTTATTTACTCTGGAATGCAGTCTGAAGCAAAGCGTATCAGTAAAACGATCCAGGCAGTTTGCTAACTTGAGAAAGTTACGCCTCCTTCGCAACACTGTCAAAACATATTCAGCAATAGGTATAAGGAGCAGAAGCTCACGCACAATGGGCCAGGTAGCTCTCAGGTTCACTCTCGCCGTTTGGTCTAAGGAGATGGAAGTGGCTGGGATGTGAAGAATGCAACCACTGGAACATTTTAAACGGAAACCCCCGCCCCTCAATTTATTAAATCAAGAAACCTGGCACAAAATATATACATCTAGGCCAGGAAGCGGAAACCAGGAACAAAAAATGTGCTATTCGTACTTTACATGTCAGAAATCAGGTCTTACCGCAAGTAATCCCTTTGCTAAGTAGTTCTGGTTCCCTGAGGAGAGTTCCTGAGCGACACACGTGTTTCCACAGAGTGAGCTAAAGTTCTAGTTATACAGAGGTCGGTAAGATTCAAATGATCGATGAGGAAAAAGAGAGGAACTACGTGACGTTTACGAGGCGACCGGAAGAACTATCTGGCCCTTCTGCCTTCATTTTTGACCATGGAGATTTGTTTATAGAAATGGCAAGGGAAAACGCGACACGGATCCACTCTACCCAGAGGGCATTTATGACTGGCGACCTTTTAAACTCTAGCCAGAAACCTCATCCACTATTAGAAATACACCGCCTGAACTTCCACGACAGTGGCGTCGTGAATCCCTGACCATTTCCATGATCAACTTGCATGGATGTACAAGCAGAATCGCGCTCACTATTATAACCTCCGACTGACTATTTGATGCCTCTGCTGGGTTTGTTTCCCCAGGGCGGAAATGACGCAGAAGAAATCGAGGATTTTAATGCCTCTGCAACTGTTCAGGAGTAACGCGACCTCCTTACTGTGCTGTTGTTATCTATCTCTCTTAACAAATCGCTTCCGACTTGCGTGGCCTCCGAAAGATCCTATCGCGAGCAGCTTTGCCGGGTTTTGCAAAGGTCCTATTGAGTCAATCGATCTCACGCTCGGCCCCCTCCCCTTTTCGAACTGCTTTCAGGTTTTCCTACCAATATTGTCTTTCCCAGTAAGCCTTGTTTTCTCATCATATGGCTAAAGTATGATAGCCTCATTTAGTCATTTTGGCTTCTGATGAGATTTCAGGCTTGATTTGCTGTCAGAAGATGACTGACTATATGCCGTGCAGTCGGTTCCGACGAATGACAATGTTTTCTAGAGATGGCGGGGCATCGGAAGTGTTTTAACATTCCGTTTTGCTGGCGGTGCCCTGGGACTCTGTAACTTGCCCATGGGCTGCACAGGGTGACTCTTTTCCCAGAAGGCTCTGGAACGCATTCATTTGTTTTTCTGACTGTCCACCGTATCCTTAGAAAGTTTACCTTTCCGTAAAAGACAATAACATCCTTCTCTCAATTTTTCATCTCTAGTGGTAATAGGATTCTCGTATTCAGTCATACCGACGATCTATTTGTAATTATTTTTAAGCGTTCATTTCTGAGGAAAATGGTCCTTTCTCAAAGCAACCACGTCCAATTGTTGATGACGTGTGTAAATCTATGCTCACATGTGGGGCCGACGTGACGCAATAGGAAGTTGTACGGAAGCGCCGCGCGGCCTTCACGTCCTGGAGGCCCGGGGTCTGGGAGGAGTTTGCTTTCAGGAGGAAGTTGGAAAAGCTGCGTCTGCCTGAAACGGAATGACCGCGGAGCGACCTGGTCCGTTGTTTGCTTCTGCTTTCTGGTGCGCAGCAGATCGGCCAGGTTTTATTCGTTTTTAAATGTCACGTGTAGCTTGAAAATCTCCACTCTGACATAAAATCCAGTGCGAAGCCTGTTTGCTCAGTACTAAGCCCCATCAAGAAGACAGGAGGGCCTGGAGTGCTCCGGTCCATGGGGTCACGAAGAGTCGGACACGACTAAACAACAACAACAAGCCCCATAAAGTTTGATCGGAGCTTGATAAGTGTAAGTGAAATCCCATTTAATTCCATACTGAGTAAGTACGTTTAGGTTCCTTCTACCTCCAGGGTACATTAACGGGAGTAATGGAGAAAACTATTTTTACTGCTATCATTCTGTTAAAATGGGAGCACTGTATAATCAACATCCATCACAGCAGTCTGAACACTAAATGTGACATAGATTGGAAGAAATTACCAAGACAAAAGACTCAATGTTGGGATGTCGTTAAGGCACTGGAAGGGAGCCAGGAAAAACAGTTGTTCCTAGGTTCCCCCAATGCAGTGCAATCCAATTCACCCAGGCTTATTTAGAAATAAATCTATGAGTTCCCAGATTAATGTGTATAGGATTGCAGCCTTTGAAAATGTGTTTGTCTTGTTTTCCCTCTTTGCCATTTTTGTCAATCCACAGTATGTACAATTGTGGCTTTGGTTGTTGTGTGTTCATGTAAATGTAGGGCTGCCAACCTGCACATAAAAAAAAAAAAATTCTGCCACCAAAGGTAGACATGCTCTGTCTACAGGATATTTAGGGTAAGAACAGGTTCCCACTCATTTGGAAAGTGCCACTCAACAAACTGCTTCTGTGTACCTGCAAAATGACTTCTTTTGGGGAAGATAATTGCTTTGTATTTTTTTAAAGGACTGAAGTTCACTATTCATGGACAAAGGAGAGTCTTTGCTATTGGAAGCAAAGTTATTTAATTCCATATAATCACTCTGTGTTGTGGATTTAAGTAAAAACACAGCACTCCTCGTATTCCATGCTGAATGATGCATAAAATCTTATAGAAAGTCTTTAGAAAGGGTATTTGATAAATACCTCTTCCCCACCAAGCTGTGTAGTCTTATAGCATTTCATTAAAGCAATAAAGTATATGATAGCCCAGTAAAAGAAAAAGCTAATTTGAATTTCAAGAGTGTTATCTCCCTAATCAAGTTACTTCCACATGTATTTAATCTCCAGGTATCATAGCTATTCTGTTTTAGAATGATAAGAATTTTAGAGAGAACTAGATTGGGAATGCATCCACATTTACTATAATCACTGGCAAATGCATTGTTGCATACTTTATGTAACATAGTGCAATATTCTTTCATGTTTAGAGGTGGACAACTGGCACTTTAACAGTAATGCTGATCCCTTTCCTGGCTTCAAGGTTTAGCTCTTCATGTTTATAGAATTTATAATGTTTTTAGAATTTATAAGGAGCCTCATGACGCAGTGGTTAAACTGCTGTACTGCAGTCAAAACTCTGCTCACAGCCTGGGTTCAATCGCAGGTAGCCAGCTCAAGGTTGACTCAGCTGTTTATCCTTCTGAGGTTGGTAAAATGAGTACCCAGCTTGGTGTGGGGACAGTCTATAGCCTGCACAATTAACTTGTAGACTGCCCAGAGAGTGCTTTAAGTGCTATGGGGTGATACATAAGCAGCACACTTAGCTTTTATAAACTGAGAAATACCTGCTGACCCAAGATGCAGCTGCATCACAGATAGTGAGATTGTTTAACTCAAACCCTGTACAGTCTTCATCTACATATTTTTTACAGCTGAAATCAAATTGGCAGTTTGGGAGTGGTCCTTTTGTTCAAATTTGATTCTCCTGAGGAAAAGAAGGGAAACACTCTCATAAAATAAATCAGGGAAGAACACATCTCAGAGTCAAGCTAGATTTTATTTGAGATCCTCATCTTATGATCTGTTGAACCTTCTACTCCAGCTACTCATCCACTGATTCCCCCTTTCTTTCACTGTACATACCAGTTTGGTGCCTTGGGAAATGAAAGGAATTAAGGTTTTCCCCTTTCTCACCAGTTATTTTGCACATAGTGTACTGCTGTACAAGTTGCACCTGGAAATGTCATTTTCCACAAGGTAACTGACGTTGCAGTTATATTTTGGTTCCTGAGGACTAGTGGCAGCCTGTGTGATGCACAGCAACGTGCTGGGTGGCAAAGAGAGAATTGGCTTCAATCTCTGTCTTCCATTTGCTGCTGCTAATGTAGACCTGTGAGAAATAAAGATGAGGGATGTTCGTCCAGTACCATTTTTACCCTGAGCTGGAGGAAAGTTTGAGGGTTGTAATACCACCTAACCACCATTTGAAGCAAGTATTACAAGCTCCTTGGTCTTGTATTCAGATGCTCTGATTATATGAGGCTCAGTGGCATTGGAAACTGGAAGGAAATGGCATTAATGTTAGAAGCAGCTGGTGATTAATGTGTATGATACCTTAAGATCTGTTTTTGGGCCTTGCTGTGTGTTCCAGTGCTGTTAGAGATATAAGGGTGGGCAGTGCAGTAATTTTATATTGTGTTCGCACTTCCTGGGAGGATCCATCAGGTTCCCTTCATACTGCATTCATATGAGCATTTAAAAATTGAAGCATTTGATTTTATCTTACTATGCCTGAATTACTTAATTAGTTTGCTTAAATGCTGTGATGAATTTGGGAGTTGGGGTATAAAACATCCGCTTTTAGTATACTTTCTTTGGATTGTGTCTAGAAATGCAACAAATGTTATGAAGCATACTAAGTTTATTTAATATACTTTAAATATATGCCTTGTTTGAATATACAGTGGTGCCCTACTTGACGCTTAGCCCGCATGACGTCGAAACCGTTTTACAACGAGTTTCTTGCGATTGCTATTGGGATCGCGAAATGATGGTTCCAATGGGGTTTTTTCGCTTGATGTCGATTAGAAGCCTGCTTCGCAAATCGTTTGTTCGCTAGACGACGATTTTTCCAGTTCCGCAAAATGGCTTCCCTTCGTAAAATGGCTTCCCTCCCTTCTCAAAATGGCTGCTTTCTGGACCCCTGCTTCGGAAGACAATTTTTTTAAACAACTGATTGGTGGTTCTCTATGGGCAATCTTCACTGGACGATGAGGTATTTCCCCATTGGAACACATTGACCAGTTTTCATTAACATGTAAGTGTGAAAATATCAACTTTTGGTTCACTTCATCTGGATGGTGTCCAGTAACAATATCTAGCAGGATTAGTCCCCAAGTAACTTTTTTGTTATTAGTATCTTTCTCTAATTATCCATAAGGTGCACACAGAAGTTATATTTGGTATGTCATAAAATACAGTGGTGCCTCACTTAACGATTACCTCATTAAACGACAAAACTGCTTGACTATGAGGTTTTTGCGATCGCAAAATGATGTTCTAATAGGAAAAATTCGCTTCACCATGATTGGTTCCTTCTTCAGGAACTGATTTTTTGCTAGACGACTATTTTCAAGCAGCTGATCGGTGCCTCTAAATTGGCTGCGCGCTGTGCAAAATGGCTCCCCGCTATGCTTTAGGACGGATTCCTCGCTATACAGGCACCGGAAAATGGCCACCCTATAGAGGATCTTCACTTTACGTTGAGGTATTTAGCCCATTGGAACGCATTGAAGGGTTTTCAGTGCATTTCAATGGGTTTTTAAAATTCGCTTGACAGCGATTTCATTTAACAGCGATTTTGCTGGAACGGACTAACGTCGTCAAGCGAGGCACCACTGTAGACATTTTAAAAATTGAATTAATATAGAGGTCCTCAAACTATGGCCCGCAGGGCACATCCAACCCACCTTGTCTTTTTATCCGGCCCAGCGGTCAGTTGTTGGTGGTATAGTGGTTGCTTGCGCAAGAAGGAGAATTTCCTTCTTGTGCAACTCTTCCTCAGCCATTGGAGGAGGAAAGCTCACCGGATTATAATGCTGAAGTCATCCCATGCACTTTCCTCCTCCGACAGCTGCAGAGTGTCACACTCCTGCTGCTGCCTGTGAGGAGAAGGAAGGAAGAAGACAGAAGAGAAGTGAGAACAGTAGGTAAGTATGTTTAGGGGAGAAGAGGGGCCCTCCTCATCTTTCAAGGAATAAAATTAGGCCAGTTTTGGAAACTAGTAGAAGTGAATTTCTTTGTATTGAATTTGTAATTTAATATCTACTAGATTCTTTATAATACCATCCAAAATCAAACTTTTCTATAGAGCAAAAAAGGTAGTACATTCTTACTTTTTAAAGCCACTTTTGCCATTAAAATAAAATCCCATCTTCCATTTAATCACTTATTAACATTATAATCATTAATTTACAATAACTTTGCATTTAAGAAAAAAATTCACCCCATCAAGTAAAAAAGGACCTGGGTCATTAAAAAAAACTTGATCCATTCGTTCATATTTGTTTCAAACTATAGTCCGTCCCCCCAACAGTCTGAGGGACAGTGAACAGGGCCTCCTGTTTAAAAAGTTTGAGGACCCCTGAATAAATTTTTTCATAATCTACAGTCATTTGTTTTGTATATCTTTATTAATTAATCTAATAATTTTTCCTGTGACTCTAATGCAATGTATAAATAAAACTGTCTCCCTGAGATATTTTACTTTTATTGTTTTAGGTTATTAAGGCATTCTAACATGGATGCTTTTGCAAGCCATAGCTGCTACCTCCTTCAACAGCTTCATGACCAGCGCATTCAAGGACTCCTCTGTGATTGCATGTTGGTGGTCAAAAGTGTTTGTTTCAAAGCACATAAAAATGTGTTAGCTGCTTTCAGCCAGTATTTCAGGTATGTTGCTAAAATGCTTTAGTTGGAGCACTAATTAGGACCCCATTCTTTAGTGCACATGCTTGGAAGTCTCAGTTAAATCAGTGTACCTTAACTTCCCTATAAACTTGTTGATAATTCTGTCCCACAAGTCATATAAACAGGTTATGACTCCAGACAGGTGTTCTTTCTATACAATTTGGAGACATAGACTTATGTATGGGAGAAAGGTGCCTCTCAGTGCATGTTGATATGGACATTGGGTCTAGCCATGGACATGCTGTTCATACAAATCAAATAGAAATCTTGTTTTCACGTAATTCTTAAGAGATTTGTGGCATCCCTATACATTTCTATACATTTTGACCAAACTCCGGGAGGCAATGGAAGACAGGAGGGCCTGGTGTGCTCTGGTCCATTGGGTCACGAAGAGTCAGACACGACTTAATGACTGAACAATAACAACGATACATTTCTAAGATGGTTAAGTTGTGCAAGTGTTACTGCAGGTATGAACTGGCTCATGGGTAGCTGGATTAGCCTGATTTCACTGAGATTTCTGAAAGTAAAGTAAGGTAAAGTTTCCCCTTGATATTTAGTCCAGTTGTGTCCGACTCTAGGACACGGTGCTCATCCCATTTACAAGCCACAGAGCCAACGTTTGTCCGAAGACAGTTTCCATGGTCACGTGGCCAGCGCGACTATAGACACGGAACACCATTACCTTCCCACCGAGGTGGTACCTATTTATCTACTTGCATTTGCATGCTTTCAAACTGCTAGGTTGGCAGGAGCTGGGACAAGTGACGGGAGCTCACTCCATCGTGTGGATTTTATCTTACAACTGCTGGTCTTCTGACCCTGCAGCACAGAGGCTTCTGCGGTTTAACCTGCAGCGCCACCACGTCCCCTTTGAAAGTAAAGTACAACACCACAAAACACTTCAGAGCAAAAATAAAACTAACATAAATAATAAGTGGAAAGTTATACAGTAGTCAGTAAAATTCAATAAAATCAAAGCCTAAAAATGACTATCTAATTGTGAACTCATTCCAGCTAGATTGGGAGGATGGCTGAAGCGACTGTAGATTAGTACACAACTAATCTTTAGCTTGAGGAGGAAGAATCATAGAGGTTTAGACCTGGAAAAGATTCTAAGGATGATTAATTCCAACCCTCTGCTGAACAGTTACTGCATCTCTGACAGATGGACACCAATCTTTATTTTAAAACCTCCAGTGAAGCGGATTGTGCACCTTCCAGGGCAGTCCGTTCAGCCATTCAACAGCTCTTACCTTTAGGAAGTACTTTCTAATGTTTAGCCAAAGTCTCTTGCAATTTGAATCCATTTGTTGAGATTCTACCCCCTGGAGTAGCAAAACATAAAGTTTTTCACATTCTGTTTCTGTCCTTCAGATGTTGGAAAGTGGCTTTTATACTGCCTCTCCATCTTTTCTTCATCAAGCTAAGTATGCCAAATTCCCTGCTATGTTTCTCAGAGGGTTTGGTTTCTAAATCTTCTACCAACCTTTTTGCTGCCCTCTCAGTATGTTCCAGGTTGTCAATATCCTTAAACTGAGGTGCCCAGTGGAGGGAAATCTCATTGTGACAGAATGGAGTGATGCTGCTACTTCTCTTCATCTGGACACTGTGCTCCTGTTTATGTAGCCTAGGATTAGGGTGTTTTTGCAGTTGCATCATACTGTTCGCTCATATTAGCTTGTGGTTTACTAAGACCCATAGATCCTTTTCACACATACTACTGCCAAGCATAGTGTCACCTATTCTGTAATTCTGCATCTGTTTTTTCTGCCTAAATAAATAGTAGTTTGCATACTTCCTTGTTAAAACCTTTTGTTTCTTTTGGTCCAGTTCTCCAATCTGCTGTGGTCATCTTGAATCCTCATTTTCTCTTCTGATGAATTGGCTATCCCTCTCAGTATTTAAGTCTGGGTAGATGGAAATGTTCTGAAACAGTTTTTGTGTATTGACATTCCTCCTGAGGTCAGATTTTTGTCCATCTTTTGCGTAGAGATTGTCCTGCTTGTCCTATATAAGAGTGCAGAAAAGCACATTAAAAGAGATTACATTAGAAGAAGAACAGGTAAACAGCTCCCTGATGTTATGTACAACATTTTTGGGATCTGTAATTGTGTTGCCAGAGTAGATGTGAGGACAGAGCAGGCATCTTGGTTTATAGCATAGTTTAGTCCCCATCTCTGTCAGTGCTGTGTAGCCCATTTTGCTTGAGTTTGGGGTGGGGTTTCATTGTGGTGAGAACCGGTCAAGTTTCAGGCAAGGTCCTGACACTGACCAGGACTCCTTGGTTCCAGGCTCCTCAAACCCGGGGGAGAGGAGGATGGTCCTCTAGGCCAGAGAACCGGCATCTGAAGCAGCAGAGATGACAGAAGGGGGAAATGGGATTGCTGAAGGCAAAATGGACTTCACTAAAAAAAAAATCTTACATTAGAAGTGAGCCTCCCGCCCTGCCCCCCAAGCTTGAATCAGGAGAAGAAGGGGAAAGAAGAGAGAAAGGGAGAAGAGAGAGAAAATTACCTTGTCATGAAAGTAGAGCAATTTAAGATAAAAGCCTCGCTGCTGTGACTATCTGAAATATCAATATCAAATCCTATTTACTTCAACGCATTGCATAGCCTTTAAATTTTTATTGTTGTGACTTGGTGACTGTGAGAACTGTCACTGTTAGGCGTCCTTCAGTCTCGAGAGAACATGGTAACGTGCTCTGCATGGAGGACATGGAACAGCATCCAGTGTGGCGGAGAAGGCCAATTCGAGAGTGACAATCCCTTTCCATGTTGTTTTGACACGGTATGCAAAGCTGGAGTGTCCTCTGCAGAGCACGAAGCCTGGGTAAAATAATATGGATGATAGGCTGTTACCCCAGCAGCAAATCCCCCCTCTCCATGTCGCTGGCATAGCCTAATGGAAAGGCAAGAGCCAATACAATTGGTTCCAACATTGTCGCAGGAGTTGCCAGAACGACACGAACTGCCTCCAGGACTTCGGCTCTGGATTTTGCCTCAAGGTTAACTCCTGAAGCCTTTTCCATCAGTGGATATAGCCACAAAGCAGTGGAGGTTTGAAATCGGAGGTTTCCTTCTCCTAGATGGGCTGCCTTCCAAGGCTGATGAGCCCCACCTACCCACGAACTGTCACTACAAGGATTGCAATAGAAGAAATTGACATCTTAGACTGAATGTATAAAGGAAATTGTTAATCAGCCATATTTTACAGCTGTGTATAAAGCTGAGTCATGCTGACTAGGCAGAAGGCTGATGTAATTATTTTGAGATCCCCTACGCTGAGATAATGTTACCTGATTGGTCATATGTACTATGTAGTGTCCATAGGAACACACATGTGTTACAGATAGTTGGAGAGTTGCTAGAGGACATGCTGTTGGAGTATTTTGTGAAGAGTTTACATATGTAATATAAGCTTTAAAGAAGAGGCTGTTGTCTCTTTTTTTTCTTCTCTGTGAGGACCTTGAAGGCTGGTTGTATCCCTGCTTTGCTCAGCGGACTCTAAAACAAATACTTAACAAGAACTTTCTACCCAGAGGGAAGCTCCACCCCACTCTTGGATCAGACATGTAAATAAGACTGAGAAAGGAAAGTAAGGTTATAACAACATGTGCTGACAGAAGACTTAAACAGCATTCTTTAGAGGAAAAGAAAACATCTGACAAAAAACGTAAACAGCACCCCTTATTTACTTAAGAAGGAAGAAAAAATAATCAATATGACAACAAAAGGTGGAAAAGAGAGAACTCAAAGAGGCTCACCAGCACAGGAACAATCTCAGTGGGATGTTGGGGAACTCATTTAAGGACTGGCAACAGAGTATTCAAGAGGTGTTATCAACAAGGCTACAGCAATTACAAGAAGGGATGGCTCAGCAATGTGTACAAATAATTTAGGGATGCAAATGACTGATATTAAAAATCAAATTACAGAAAAAAAACAAATAGCCAGAATAGATGGGACATCAAAAGCAAGCAAGATTAAATTACTCTGTTAAATCTACAAATGGAAAAAGCCAATGCCTTAGAATCTACCAGAACAAAAAGACACAGTGCAAGTGATTACTTCTTATTTGGCATCTCTCATGGAGATAAAAATCTCCCCAGAGAAATTCATGTTAAATTTATGAGAAAGATCTTTCGAAGTCTTAAGAAATATACAAGGCAAGGAACCTAATAGAAAAGACAAAGAAACTAAGATCTTGAAACATATTTTGTGGCAATTGACAGAAAAGGAAAGAATATGCAGAGTTGACATACTACTTGAAAACAAATTCAAATTATTTATAATGGTTGGTGCCTGAAGGTGACCTCTTTGAATTCTGGAAACAGATATATTACCGTATTTTTCCATGTATAAGACACTACTTTTTCCTAAAATTATTACACTAATAATTGAGGGGCATCTTAAACACAGAAGTAAGCTGAGGGGAGAACAAAATGGCCTGTACCTTGCCTCTGTAAATAGACTTCCTTCAATCAGAAGGCTTAGCTTCCTAAAGTCAGGAGACTTAGCTTCCTCTGATCATAAACGTTATGGAACTGACTTTAGCTGATGTTGAACAAACCAATTGTAACACACCTCGTTAGAGGTGGAGTCTGTAGGCTCAGAAGGAACAAGGACTCGTAATGTGAGAGTGTTCTGAGCCCAGAGGCTGAATAATTTTTGAGTTACAAAAATATGTGGGGGAGTATCTTTTAAATGGAAAAATATAGTAATTCAAAACTGAAGGCAAAAGATTTTATGAAAACAAAGGAGAAATAGCTGGACAAAAAAACAGATGAGAAATAAGAAGAGGAGAAATTAAGTACACTATCAGTATCAGAGGGAGAAAGAAGCTTGACTAGAGCAGAAGAGCAAGCGAGAAGGCCTAAAGGAAAGTGCACTATAGAAACAAGAGGATCCAGAAGGAGGAAAGAAAACCTCAACAATAAAAATGGACTAAATGAATAAAATGGTTAAAGACTAGGATATAAT